GAATGTTTTAGCACAAAATCAAAAATCTAATATAAACATTGCAATTTTTAGAACTTTGCCTATTATGTCACATTTATGTGCTGTGCTAAGCTAAAGCTTATCATTGTTTGATTAAACAAGTATTAAGTAAGCACTATCAATAATTGCCAACTCAAGAGACCTTATCTTTCCATCATTGACACCTGTGTGGAGGTTTGTGGTTAAAAGTCTGAGTTAAGGAGAATAAAGTCAAATTATTGACTTGTCTCACACTCTGTGCACTGTGTGAATTTTCTGAATGTCTTCATCAAAAGATTTTTTCAACCAGGGATAACACAAATGCTTACAAAAAGTCCTGGCAGGGTGGGTTCTAGCAAGACCATCTTATAGAAGAAATGAAATAGTTTATATATTAAAAGAATCAACTGGCAAATAAACTTTTGAACCATAGTGCAATTCTCCAATGAATAAACTTTTCTTTAGAGATTTTAACAGCTCCCAAAAAGAAGATGCAAATGCTATTATCCTTTGAAAACCTAAAGATATCGCCTAATATATTCAAATTTTTCTCTTGAAAACATCAGCCTATTGATATCAACAGTTATGTTATAAACATCATACTCAGCCCCTGTTAGCAGGTTTGAGTCTCTATGAGGAAGATTGTACTCTTTAGACATGGTTGTCAATATGGTTAAGAAGATACAGTACCTGTTCTCTGGAGTACTTATAATCTGGGAGTACCAACAAGAAGTAAACAGATGTGATATCGAAACAAAAACTAAGACTTACTGTTCAGGTTTTAAGACATCACCAGAAGTCAAGAGAACATATTCTTATTTGTGTTTTTAATAACGTATTGAATGTTAAAAGAAGTACTATGGGGTTTATATCACAAATCAGTAACATGCTGTGGTTATAAAACAGCTGGGTGTATTAGAACAATCATTGGTCCAAGGGCCCCTGTTTGTTGGACAAGTTTAATGACTGCACACTCTGGAGGATCCAAATAATTAAATGGATTTAAACTTGACCCCTCCCCCCGCCCCTTACACACACATAGACATAAAAGAGCCAAAAGAATCATCAATCCTTTAAACAAGTCTTTATGAACCTGGGGGATATTTATGAATAAAGAATCTCTTTCTATCTCTTTCTCTGAAACTCAAACAGATAATTTACATTAGAATCTGACATCCCAGTTGAGGAGGTGTCTTTTATGCTTGGTTGTGTAATTACATGTCCTTGTTTCCAGAAGCAAGGCAATACGATATAGCTAATCTTGGGATCATGTCCCACCAATGAGCTATGTAATTCTGGGCAAAATATTAATTTTTTGGCCCCAGTTTAGTTTGATAAATGTAAATGTAAACTGTAAAATGCAAGGCTTAACTGGATAATTTCTAAGAATCCTTTGGTTTTTACATTCTATATTCAAAGCTGCATCTTTTGAGAGTTATAACATCACAGAGATCTATACATTTATTTGTTCATCCATCCATCCATCCATCCATCCAAGAAATGTTTATCGTGACTTACTGCATACCAGATACTATTAAAGAACTTGTTCCCTGATTTTAAAGCTCACATAATAGTGGGGTAGCCAGATAATAAACAGATATTTCAGAAATAGAAGGCAATGCATTAAGTCTGTGTGTATACACAGTGGCCATAGACACTTTTGCTCCAAGATCTCTTTCTGGTTTACTTGCTGCCATTATAAAGTCCTTGGGAAATTTGCTCTGAACATTTCTTAAGGAACTGAGAATCAGCTCATTAATATTATCTTCTGCAGCAAAATACAAACATCAAAGAAATAATTGTGCAACATGATTTACTCAGACAAATAAGTCCTCAAGCAAAATATCTTTCATTTTAATCTAATGTAGACTGTATCTATTCTTATGCTATTTCCCCTTTGCCTTTTGCTTACATTATTGCCTCTATTTTAAAAATGAAACAAGCATTATTTTCTTTCTGTATACTTTTAAAACTTTTTAATTCTAGAACAAAACATCTATAAAAAGTGAATAAACATAAATGTTCTATTAATGACTAATTGTAAAGCATAGTACTTCATTCCTATAATCACTACAGAACAAGAAATAAAACATTGTCAGCACATAGAAGACTTTTCGCTCTTGTGTTTTCCTTCCTGATTCCAATTATTCCAACTCTTCTCTCCCTTTATGTAAACCATTAGACTAAACTTCATGGTATTCATTTAGGTTATATATTCTATCTGGTTTCTTTTAGTCATTATGCAGAAAATCACAACATGTATACTTCACTTATCAAGTTTCAAGTTACATATACCTTTATACCTTTATGTTCTTCTAGACAATATGGTCTAGGTTGGCACATTGAAGATATAAGACATAATTCTACTGTATCATGGGTTTTATTGTTGATGTTGTGACATTGCCTGTCAGACAATAGTTTCCTCTCTAATGGTAATCAGTCTTTTTTCTCTGGCTGCCTTTAGGATTTTCATTATGCTATATGTAGATGTAAATATTTAAAAATCATCTGCTTGCGATTTGTTGTGATTCTTGAATCTGTGGATTATGACTGCATTCTGAATAATTTTTCTAACCTAATTTCCAATTCATCGACTCTCTCTTTAGCTCTGTCTAATACTCAACATTTCCATTGAATTTTTAATCTCAGTTCATGTGTTTTTTGCCAGTGCTAGCTGGTTATTTTTCAAATTAGTTTATTTATTTATTTTTTTAGTTTCCTGTGCTTTGTAGATATTATTACAAGTTTGCATTTTGTTTCCTTAAACATAGTAAGCTCAATTGTTTTATTTTGTGGATCTGATCATTAAAATTATAATTGTGGGTTTGTTTTCATAGTCTGTTGTTTCTGTTGTTATCTTGTTTACATTTGTATATGATTATTTTTATGGTGCGCTTGTGATTATATTTAAATATTATTTGTAGATATGATTTGAGGCATAGGATGTAAATCTTTTCTTCCTGGAATAGTTAGCAGTTTTATTTTCAAAAGTGTAGGGGTACTAATAATCTGAAGCCAACTTAAACAAAATTCAAGAACTGAGGTTTTCTGGACCATTGAAGCGATTCAAAGTGCATGAAGGCTGGTTTACTTCTGGTTTACCTGTACTCCAGTGATGTAACCCTTTGGGATCCCAGCTTATTGAGGAGAAGATCTACTAAATTTCTCACTTTTCAAACTCTGTAAGTTTAGACATGAGAACAGAAGTTTGAATCTAGGAGAACAGTGAATGCTCTCAGAGTAAAAGCAGCTTCTGAGTTCTGCTTATCTATTTGGGTTCTGGTTCTTCAAATTAAACCTACTAATTTCTCTTCTTTGTGTAGCTCTTTAATTCTTTTAGTAATATTTTTAGACACATTGTTCAGCATTTTAGTAATATTTTTAGACAGGTTGTTCAGCAATTTAGGTGTGAGAATTAGTTTGAATAATCTGGACTGCCAAAATTGAAAACTAGAATACTTGTGCATATTTTCACAAGCAAATACTCAAGTCGAAAATCTATTCCCTAGTAATATGTGAGCTATAAATTGAAGCCTACAGATATTAAGAAAAATTAGTAACTGTGGTAAATCCTAAATAAAATTAAGGTTATATGCAAGTAGAGTTGTGGCAAATGAATTCTCCTGCATAACGCTAGTCCGTTATAAATTGGAGTATTCCTTTCATCGATATGACTATATACAGTATTATAATAATGTATAAACATTTTGACCAACATTTACTTAAAGGCAAAATGCTAAAAGAAAGACCCAATACTCAACATTAGTAGAATGCTTTAACAAATTATGATAAATTAACATTATGGCCTATTATACAGTCATTCCAAAGGATAATTATGATGAGTATATAAAAAATTAAATGCTTATGATATAACATTAAATGAAAATAGCAGAACACAAACTAATATGTTTGATATATAAAACAAGTGTATATCTGGAAGATAAAGGGCATCAATACACAAATATTTCACTAGAGGACTAGATAATTTTTTTCCTTAAATATTTTGCACTACTAATATATTCTTCTCAAGAATAAAGACAGGGCTTTTAAAACTTAAGTAAAACACTGTCATACTAATATTTCCCCCAAAATTTCAGCATGAAACTTTCTCATATTAAACAACATAAGAAAAAAAAGTAAGGCAAAGAGCAATTTGAACTTATAATCTAATAACTCAGAATTTGCAACCAGACTAAAACCATTTCAGTTTTTTCCTTCGATGATTCCTCTGTAGATCACAAAAACCAATGTTGGCTTCCTATAAGTTTAAATTTTATTTTAAAGAAAGAAAAAGTAAGCAAAAATCTCGGGGCTTACATTTATTTTTAACAGACTTTGGTTCAGTTTTCAATGGATGAGGTTCAGAGAAGACACATTTTTATCATTTGAAAATAATCCATCTGTTCTTTTACTCTCTAGCAGGAGGGTATAATGTAAATATACATTTACATATAATCACTTATTCTTAGTTTAAGCTATTTGTACTTTTTAAAGTTTTTTTTCTAAACTACATCATTTCCCACATCTCTTCTTGTTTGACTAAGTGCTAATCCTCCTTCAAAATCAGTTTTAAAAGTCACTTCCTCAAAGTGGCATTTTCTTATTCTCTAATCAAAATTAGAACCGATCCTACCATCTTTATTTGATTACTACTCCATTCCTTGCACAAATTATGGTGCATTACTGCATATTTATTTGTTTATCATCCATTTCCAATATAGAAGTTGCCAAAGGGCAGGAACCATATCTGTTTCATTCATACTATGTAAACATGTTATTTAATATATTGCATACTACATATTCATATTTGACAAACAAGTTTCTGGGTAGGTTTCATCTAGATAACTGTTTTAACTATTGTCATGTTCTTTTTATTTGTTGTGAAGTTTTTTCATTTTGGTGCAATAGAGTTGACTTTATGGATTTGTGTTCAGATATAATTATTAGATATAATTTCTATTCTTAAATGTCTCTTTGGCTTTTTTCCTTTTCTTTTTATCCAGGAGAAATCAATGACTCTGCCAAATCTGAAATGTTTATATTTCACAATGGAGGTGTGCAAATTTTATGCAAATACCCTGAGAGTGTCCAGCAATTTAAAATGCAGTTGCTGAAAGGCTCGCGAGTACTCTGTGATCTCACTAAGACAAAGGGAAATGGAAGCATGGTGTCCATTCAAAGTCTGAAGTTCTGTCAACCTCAGTTATCCAATAACAGTGTCTCTTTTTTTCTGAATAACTTAAACAGTTCTCATGCCAGCTATTACATCTGCAAACTATCAATTTTTGATCCTCCTCCTTTTCAAGAGATTTTTAGCAGAGAATATTTGCATATTTATGGTAAGACATTGTTTTCATCTTCCTGATATAAGGGTACACAGGCATTTTAGCAAATTTTCTCACTAAAGAAAACAATTAAACAAATAAGTATCCTTTGTATTGGAGTTCATTTGAGTGCAATTGATGGCAATCATTTATGATGAAAGTATGTAAGGGATGATTTATTGTTAATAATAATTAATAAGTAATAACAATTAATTGTTAATTAATAATAATTATTTATTAATTAATCAATAATACACAATTTAATCAAATAGACCACTGAGTTAGAAATAGGTCTTATTATCTTTAAAACACGTGTGCCATTAAAAATTAGGAAAAAAAATGAAGACTAATACACAAACCCATGGCTTAATGGTTATTAGTTCTATTCATCTAAGGTTTAAGATTTTGGTTTTGTGCTGGGTTTTGGAATGAGGTGAGATATTATATTATATTATATTATATTATATTATATTATGTTTTATATTATTACTTTTCCTACTTACTCTTTTGCAAAAATATGGACAGAAAAGTTATTTGTATTAACCAAATTTATAAACGTATATGTGCTTAGAGTCTTTTAGGTATTAATTTTTGGATGCTTGCTATAATACTAAGGTGATGTTATTTACTATTTACTGGATTTTATGGTTATAATGAAGACAATCTTCATTTGACTCAATAGCTCTTTTAAATTTGGTAAAATAACTTGTGATTTTCAGTGCTGAGAAGAGGAAATTTGATTCTCAACATTTTTTTCTTAATATGTCTTTTTTCTAACCCAGAATCACAGCTTTGTTGCCAATTGAAGTTCTGGTTACCCATAGGATGTACAGCTTTCGTTGTAGTCTACATTTTTGGATGCGTATTTTTATGTTGGTTTACAAAAAAGGTGAGCTATTTCTATCCTTTCTTTCATCTGTTTTAGTAAGGAATATTAGTGGTTATTTACTTATCAAGGTACATATCTCTCTTACCAGAGTAATTTGATCAACAGGTAGATAATTTCTTTTTCTCAAGATACACCTACTAATTAAACTACTAACTTGGAACAGAAGCTTATTTATTTTACAGCTGCTTCATTCCAAAAATTATTCAATGGCTTATTTTATTATTATTTAATAACGATGAGAAAATTGGGGTCAATGAAAGACAAAGTTCAGAAGAAAAGTTAAAACATCAAAATAGATGCTTACGACTTTTAAAAATTATTTAATTTGGGATTCAAATTTTATTCTAAGCTTCCCAAGAGTCAGGGCAAAGTTGAAACAGTTACGTTTTCACTGAATTGGTCAATTAAAAAACAATCTGTGAGACAGTCTCATAAGGTACTGGTAGAAGCTGAGAAGGAAATGGCCAGCTTCTTTATATGGTAAGTTATTAGGACTCCTTGTTTTTAAAGAAAACCACTGAAATGCTCTGCAGAAAGATAAAACGACAACAACAAAAACACTTCTGGGCTGGAGGATATTCTTATTAGTCTTTCACAACACAAGTTCTCAGTTGAAGAACTTATACCATCCTGCATATTATGCAAGTATGCTAATACTCAAATATATCCACAGTGTGATCACTGGCCAGACAGTGTATATGTCTGTGCCAGAATGGATTTTGAAAAGGGAGATAGAAAAGGAAGAGAGTGATCTAACTCTACTGGCGAAGGAACAATAACAGCAAAACTGAAGATGGAAGTTCATCGGAAAGCTCTTTTTATTAAAAGCTCTTTTCATGTTGTCCACCTATTTAGCCTAAAGTCAGGAGCCTAAGTCACATTATAACATTTGTCACAGACCACTTCAACGAAGAACAGAAAACAGTAAAACAAACAAATGAAAAGCCAAAACAAATAAACAAACTGAAAAAACAAGATTAGAGATGGGGAAGAGCAGATGACACACCATGTTTCTGACTTTTTTTTCCCAGAAAATTCGACCCAGTGTGCATGACCCTAATAGTGAATACATGTTCATGGCTGCAGTGAACACAGCTAAAAAGCCTGGACTCACAGGTACAACAACTTTTGGGGGTTTGGGAAGGAAGTGGTACTCTTCACATTAGTTGTTTTTTTTTTTTAATTATTTTATTTTATTTTATTTTAAAGGCAGGGAAAATGTCTCTAAGGCTGAATTTTAGTATTTTCTGTGAAAATCTGAATTTTTATTTTAACTGAATTTATACTTTCTGCAGTGCACTGAAAACAAATTTGTAAACCACTAGTAAAAATAAACAAATAAAAGTTCATAAACCAATATTGTATCAAGGCTATTTGCCAATTGAGATTTAAAAAATTGGGATGTTTCTAAGTCTTCTTTGTTAAAAAGTTTATTAAGTCATACAATGAAATTTATTGAATATTAATTAAGTGCAAAACTCTGAGTGAGGCACTGTGAAAGATAACACAGATATATGGAGATTTTTGACTGAAATTAGAAAAAGACATCTGGACTGGTGTTAGCAAGGGGAAGAAGGAGGAATTGATGAAGATATTGCTAGAATGTGCAAGTTTAAAGAACTTGGATGTCCACGGAAGGCCAATTAGGTGGCACTTTGACCTTTTCCATTCAGTGTGAGTGTTGTCAAGTTGAGTGTCATTAAGTTGAGGAGCATCCAGAAAGTTTGAAGCATCTATTGTGAAAAACGTATAAGTCTTATGCCTTTGAGGTTGCAATGATAGGAGGTATATAATGAGACAAAAGCCACTGCATTTTTGCTACAACTAAGTGGTGAAGAACTTGTATAAAAGGGACACATAAAGCATCTGTCATCATGGAATTAAAGTATGGGAAGGGAGCTACATGCTCCTTTAGTCCATTTCCTCATTTTTTAGATGAGAGAAATTGACACCCTGGGTGTTTAATGACTTCTCTGGTTACCAGAGATTTAATATTATAGCTTTGACACTAGCAAAGAGCTTGTGTTTCATAACTTTGCTATTGAAAAAAATACTCTTTTCTCAATCTTTGTGTTCGTAATAATGTGTCTGTCTTAGTTTGGATCCCTGAAAGCAGACTTTGAGACAGAGACTTGAGTATAGGTAATTTATTTGAAAGGTGATCCCAGGAAGAAGGGGTGGGGGAATAGAACAAGGAGGAAAAGCAAAGGAAGGTTGCACTGCTAAGATCTCAGCTAGAGGCCACCAACCTCTGAGACATGTACAGATGTCTCCAAGAATTGTTCTTCGGAAGGATGGCAAGTGAAGCATTTATCCAATGGTGCCACTATTGGGGTTGCTTGCAGGGCACATTTCCCTTATCTGTGAACTGTGCCCTGTGCTTGGGATGAGCTGGCTCACAAGTCTTCAGAGAAAGTCCTGAGTCAGAAAACCAGAGAAATGCACAATGAGCCCATTGTGCTAGAGCAGTCAGCATGTGCAAAAGCGTCCACCCCAGCTGTGGCTGGAGTCAAAGCTGGTTGGTTTCATGCCCTACCTACCAAGCTTAGCACATATCTTGCAATTAGATTTAAACAAATAACTGTGAAAATGGCCAGAATGTAAACTTCTTTAGAGTAAGCAGGGACTTTCTTCTGTATTCTGAAAGCATTACACATATACAGTTCCAAACAGAGCATGACTCAGCACCTCTGTCAAATATTTATTGAATGATTATTATGTGAATAGCACCATGCTGAGTAATGTGCATTAGGCAGAGGGAGGGAAGACTAAAGACAGTTCTTGTCTTCAGTTTGTAAAGTCATTGAGAGAGGTAATATGTTTAGATGAAGGGTGGAGTCATGTGATAGTGTCAAAAGTACTCAAGTAATTGCAAAAGGTAGAGTTCAGATAACATCTGCTATAGGAGTTGATAGGAGTTAATAAAACTTCATGGAAAATGTGGAAGTAGTGCTGGGTCTTAAAGCATAAAGAAGAGCTTGGATGGGGTGTGCTCACGCATGTGTGTATGTGTGTGTGTGCATATGTGTGTGTGTATGTGTGTGTGTGCGCACGTTTGCAAGAGGCAGAGAAAAATGGAAAGCGTGTTGAAGGGAATTGGCACATGGAGAGCTTTTAAAGACAGTATGCTAAATTTTTGTTACAGATGTTACTCGTAACTTGGAACTCCCTAGCACCCAGATGTGAATCACGTTTGCCAGTTTCCTCATACTTGAAGTGCAAGATTTTCTTATTTCCTGGACCATGGAGACTCTGACTTGATTTGACTACATACATACTCTGCTGGTGTTTTGTTCAATCTGGACCAGTGACTATATCAGTCAGCAGGGATTTTAACAGACTGCCTCAGTACTGTTGAGTTCTCTTAAAACAAACACCCTCTTGCAACTAGCTTTATGGAAAGCCCAACTCGTGTGTGTATGCTTAACAAATAGACCTCACTGGGATAGAATCCTTGTCTTCACATCTGCTTCTAGCAATGCACCAGCCAGTAAAACAAACACATCTACAAACATTTTTAAAAGATGCCATGGGTACTGAATCTGCAAAGCAAATGGGCATCCAAGGGCTGGCATCTGTCTGCATTTTGCAAACAGACTACTGCTTCTTCTTGTAGAAAGAACATTCCTTGTTTAATTAGACAGGAGGTGCTTCAAACTGTAGCTATGTTATTTCTGAGGTGTCAGTATGTAACCATAGTGTACAAATACATTAGCACAAAGTATTCTTCCCCAAATTCTGATCCCTGGTCCACCATTCCACCAACAGTTTAAATGTTTTCTGCCCTCAATTTCCTTTTAAAAATACTTCTACATTACTTGACAGACTCTACATAGGGAGCTATATTTTTTTCCTCTGCTGCTCAATAAAATACATATTATATATATAATATATGTTCAACATATATATTCTACATATATTATATATATATATATATATATAGGCAGCCTAATGAATATAATTTACCTATATTCTTCCTACAAGAATATTTTTGCTCCAGAAAGACATCTTCCCCGTCTCAAATCAGTTAAAATGTTTTACTTTTTTGACTTGTTGATACTAGTGGTAGGGAACATTGCCCAGAATGAAAAGTGACTTCATTTTATGATCCTGTTTTCTACTATTAACTGTTTTCATGGTGCTATTAATTACAAGCTAGGCGATTTTTGTAGGTCATATTACAATTGCAAACAAACAAAACCATCTCTAACTGTCAAACATTGTCCTGGGGGTGGAGTCAATGATCCACTCAGCATGAAAGCTGCATTGCCTCTGGGCTTGACAGGTTGAAAAGACCCCATGAGCCTGAAGCAGCCTTCCATACATGGGTGGAATTCCAAGGATAGAAACATTTTTTAACTTTAGGTAAATGGGGTTGGTTATTTAGTAGTTTTAAAGTTTGTAGTTGCCTGCTTTTAATTTACTTTTCACAAACGAGAACTGGTATGTCATTATGCATACTTATATTATTTTAAGCATGTGTAATGCTGGATGTGTACAGTACAATACTGAATTTGTAATTTGAATCAAGTATGGTGTTCCCTGTTTTCAGCTGACGTGAACAGCCTGGTTGGCTTTGCAGAGGTGTTTCCCAAGTTGTTTGCAGCTCTCTGTGTGGGGGATCAAGGCGGAGAGGAAACCCTTCACATGGCTTGCCAGGACCGTTGTCCAAGCCAGGCTCTGAAGCATCCTTATCCTCAACAAGACATTTCAAAGTGAATTATTAAAGGATACAATTTCTGTGAAATAAAACAGATTTTAAGAAGAGCTACTTATGAAATGGATTTTAGCAATGGTAGGAAGCAAAAAAATAAACATTTGATATTCAGCAACTAAAAGTACCTCACGGTGTTTTCCTTGAGAAGGGAAATGATCACCCTTATTTGTTTTTTGAGAGAAGACTCACACATTTAATATCATTAAGCGCCTTTGTAAAAAGGTGTAGTGATTCTTACAGTCATTATAAATAGTAAAATAGCATTTAGAAAAGAAGCCGGACCCCAGGCAGGTGGGGGCTCTTTGGTGCTTGATGGGCAGCAGTGGCTGGTCTGTTCTTGAAGGTAGTTATATTTCTTGGAATAGTAGCTCTTTTTATTTTCTTCCTCCTTTCTTCCTTCCTCTTTGCTCCCTCCCTCCCCTTCTTCCCTTCCCCTCCCCCACTTTCTCCTACTCACCCTCCCTCCCTCTTCTCCCCCTCCTCCTCCTCCTCCTCCTCTTCTTCTGTCTTAACAATTTGAAACAACCACGAACTTATAAAAAGTTGGACGTACAGCAAAATGACTATTCTTCTCCTGACCTAATGCCCGAGCATCTTTGAACACTGTGTGATTCCTGTAAATAAGAACACCGCTCTCCATAACCACAATCCAACCGCCAGCAGGAGAAAATGAACATTGATGCATTGCTACCATCTGATCCTCACACTGCCTTCAAGTCTTGCCGGATGCTCCATAATATATTTTATAGCAAAAGATGCAGAATCTCCCTCTGCTTCTAGTTTTCACATCTCCATTATGTCCTTCGGTGTGGACGATTCCTCAGTGTAGACTTTTATGGTCTTGGCTCTTTTGAAGATTATGAACCATTGTTTTGTTGAATGTGCCTCGATTTGAGTCAGTCTGATATTTCATCATAATTAAAATTAGGTTATTGGTTTTCGGCAAAAATAACAGAGAAGTGATGCTATGTTCTTTTAATTGTTTTCTATCAGGTGGCTCACAATCTCTATTTGTTACATTATTGGTAATGTTGTTTTTGACCACTTGACTAAGGTGTCTGTTAACCTTCTCCATTGCAAAGCTTCTTTCCTCTTTACAGTTAATAAATAGTTTATGCAGAGGTACTTTGAAATTTTGTAAATATATTTTCTTTTTGGTCAAAGTTTCAATTTATTTGTTCATTTATATCTATTTTGTTGAATGGGTAAACATTTGTTACTATTATTACTTTATTTTGATGCTTAAATTGTCCCATCCTTGGCCATTTAAACTGGCTCTTGTGTCCGTGTGACATGTCCATGTCATGCGTTCAGCACTTCCTTGCTTTCTGGCAGAACAAGACATTCCAGACTCAGCTCATTTCTCTGTCCCAGTGCTGGAATCAGCAGTTTCTCTGAGGGATCCTAATATCTTTGAGTGGGCAATGATTTTTAGAAGCCAAGATCTAAGCATTAGTTATGCTTACTACTATTAGGATTTCCCTGCTCCTAAGCCCCTCAGTGAACAGAACTGGGATACACACACACACACACACACACACACACACACACACACACACACACACACTACGTAATATACCCCTGAGCCCACTCAGAATTACATCGAAAGAAATGTCTTTCCATCAGAAGTAAATTTTAACTGAAAATATATCTTTTCCTAATCTTTTGAGAGCATGCCAAAATGAGAATAGGTTGCATTTACTAAGCACAATAAAACTTGATTAAAAAAACAAAAACAAAAACCCCTTTCCTCATTATTAGTGCCTCTTGCATGCTTGAGGCAGTTCATCAAACATCTCCTTCCTCTTTGTCTTCTCCTAAAGCCTTCTCTAAG